TATGTCAGACTTATGGACGCAACAGGATGGAAGTAGTATGGAATAGTGTGAATTGGGATTTGAGAGTATTGAGAGGGTGTGAGAGAATCAAGAATGAGAATGTAATGATAAATAGATCAATGTCATCCCCGCCAAACCCAACATAGGCGTAATGTCATGAAGGTCTATGTGCCAATTGTCCTATCCGTCGTGATAAATGTCGGTAACGTGGTCTCAAATGTGTTTGATGGTTCTGCAATTCCATCGTTGGCTCCTCCTCCAAACTGCACCAGGATGTTGAGTGTGTCATGGAGACTCAGTGTGCCAAGTTCTGTCTTTATTGGTAATTGGATGAGGGTTGCAGAGGTCTCAGGAATTGAGTGAAGGTACTGCAAGTCCCATAATCCATGGTCTATCCCCGGCCAAATCACACCAGGGCGTAAAGTGGGTCATGAGAGGTCTACATTGTAGAAGAGGGAAGATGGCTGCCTCTTTTGGGGCCTAGCTGGGAGAAGGCAACCTAGAAGGCCTGCAAGGACTTAGCAGAAGGCCAATCAGAAACCATATGCAAATTTCCTTCTCTCATGTCCCTGCTTCTGTCATTAACCCTCTTTGCCACCAGGGGGCCCTCTTGAGGTTGGCCAATCAGAGACAATATGCAAATTTCCTTTGCCCTCTCAGCCACTTGAGGATGTTGGAACTTTCAGGCTGGCCAATCAGAGGCCATATGCAAATAGCACCGCAGTGGCAGCCAATCAGAAAGCTGCCACAAACTCCTACCTACGTCCTCCTTCCTCTGTCCTCCCTCGCACACAAACTTTGACTTTTATTATATATATAGATATAGATATAGATATAAATATTGCACTCGTACCTTGGGAAGTCTGACTTGGCCACAGTAGTCCACGCTCTGGTTACATCCTGTATGGACTACTGCAACGCTCCCTACGTGGGGTTGCCTTTGAAGACTGCTCAGAAGCTTCAAATGGTCCAGCGTTCGGCAGCCAGGTTGCTAACAGGAGTGGCACTCAGGGAGCATACCACTCCTCTGTTGCGCCAGCTCCACTGGCTGCCAATTTGCTACCAGGCACAATTCAAAGTGCTGGCGTTAGCCTATAAAGCCCTAAACGGTTCCGGCCCTACTTACCTCTCCGAACGCATCTTGATTCTATGAGGCTGGATGGCCATCTGTCAGGGGTGATTTGAATGCAATATTCCTGTTTCTTGGCAGGGGGTTGGCCTGGATGGCCCATGAGGTCTCTTCCAACTCTTTGATTCTATGATTCTAGGCGTCCTCAGAGGTTTTTCTGCTCTCGGTCCCGCCTGCATCACAGGCGTGCTTGGCGGGGACGAGAGACAGGGCTTTCTCAGTGGTGGCCCCTCAGCTGTGGAACACCTGTGGACACTAAGATCATCTGGGGAGGCCCTGCTCTCGGTCCTGCCTGCATCACAGGCGCACTTGGCGGGGACGAGAGACAGGGCCTTCTCAGTGGTGGCCCCTCAGCTGTGGAACACCCTCCCTAGGGAGATAAGATCTGCTCCCTCCCTCTTAAAATGGCGGGGAACGAGAGACAGGGCCTTCTCAGTGGTGGCCCCTCGGTGTTGGAACGCCCTGCCTGCAGATATCAGATCGGCCCCCTCCCTGCTGGCATTTCGGAGGAAAGTGAAGACCTGGCTGTTCGAACAAGCATTTGATTAAACAGTGTAATTGAACATAGGAATACGGAATAATGGATGACGAGACTGGATTCTGATTTTACTGTTGAGGCGCTAATGATTGTTATACTGATGTTAATGATTTATGTGATAATTGTTTTTAATTGCCCTATACTTGTTTTGTGATATTTTGTACTGATGTTGTTCACCGCTTTGAGTCGCCTGAGGGCTGAGAAATGTGGTATATAAATAAAGTAAATAAATAAATATTATAATTATATATTTATATTACATGTAAAATTACTAATAATATTACGATATAGTGGTATGGTGCAATATAGCAACGTTTAATGCTGATATTGTACTATGCTCATAATATAATATACTGTATGTCATATATATCTTGTAAGCCGCTCTGAGTCCCCTTCGGGGTGAGAAGGGCGGCATATAAATATCGTAAATAAATAATAAAATAAATTAAGTTAGCCTCCCCACATAAGTGGTACCTAAATTTCCTACTTGACAGATGCAACTGTCTTTCGGGCTGCAAAGGTCGACAACAAGCTACACAAATTATTCGGAAGCTCACTCCGACCCGGGATCTTCTATCTATGTGGAAGAGTGCATTTCAGCAAGTGCTACTTATCAATGCAACACCTAGAGCAGGCCAAACACAGTTCCTCCTTGTCCCGGCTGTACCTGCAGTAGCTCTCGCTGACCATGCCAAAGACGAAGATCTGTTCGCACAACTCCATGGCCAAAACCATGGTGAACCAGCCAGTGCTGAGGAACGAGCCAGACTTCATCCTGCCAATTGGAGAGACAAGACAAACGTCAGCTGTGCGTGCGGGAGGAAAGCCGCATTCTCACTGCAGTGATGGGACTTGGTTCAACCTTCTTCAGCCACATATTCATGGGCCATAAAAGGGAAGGGCTGCACTCAGTGGGAGCACATGCCTCTGGATGGGGTTCAATCTCTGGCAGATGCATGCATGCCGTAATAAGGGTATTTTCCCTGGCAGAACAGTCTCAGCCCTGCATCAAACTACAAATCCAAGAATTCCAGAAAGTGCCCTGATGTTCTTATGTAGGTTATTTATTTAATGTCCACCTTTCTCTCGGCTGGGGACTAAGGCAGCTTGAATTAAAATGCAGCTATGCTGTTGCACAAAAGTTGAAAATAAAAGCACAAAGTCCAATTCAGAGGAGAGTTGGTTCAAATCGCAGGAAGGTGAGGGAGGCACCTACTCTCTTCACTTGTTCTCCTTTCTATGAATGGATCTACATTATATAATTCTCGCAGTTCCATGCAATGTTTAACTCTCTGAGAGATATTGACAAGCTGGAAAGTGAAGACAATGTTCCTCTTCTTTGCCCAGCGGGAAAAGACCGCCTTCACCCGAGGAGGGTGACTCAAAGGATCAAGGGTCTGGAGAACAAGCCCTATGAGGAGCGGCTTAAAGAGCTGTTTAGCATGAAGAAGAGAAGGCTGAGAGGAGACATAATAGCCATGGATAAATATAGGAGAGGAAGTCATAGGGAGGAGGGAGCAAGCTTGTTTTCTGCTTCCCTGGAGACATACTGGACATAATAATAATAATAATAGACACAATAATAATAATAATAATAATAATAATAATAATAATAATACTGGACACAATAATAATAATGATGATGATGATGATGATGATGATGATGATGATGATGATGGAATGTGTCCAGAAGGGGGTAATTAAAATGATCAAGGATCTGGAGAACAAGCCCTATGAGGAACGGCTTAAGAAGCTGGGCATGTTTAGCCTGAAGAAGAGAAGGCTGAGAGGAGATATGATAGCCATGGATAAATATGTGAGAGGAAGTCATAGGGAGGAGGGAGCAAGCTTGTTTTCTGCTTCCCTGGAGAATACTGGACATAATAATAATAATAATAATAATAATAATAATAATAATAATGGAATGTGTCCAGAAGTGGGTAATTAAAATGATCAAGGGTCTGGAGAACAAGCCCTATGAGGAGCGGCTTAAAGAGCTGTTTAGCATGAAGAAGAGAAGGCTGAGAGGAGACATGATAGCCATGGATAAATATGTGAGAGAAAGCCACAGGGAGGAGAGAGCAAGCTTGTTTTCTGGTTCCCTGGAGACTAGGATGCGGAACTACAAGAAAGGAGATTCCATCTGAACATGAGGAAGAACTTCCTGACTGTGAGAGCCGTTCAGCAGTGGAACTCTCTGCCCCGGAGTGTGGTGGAGGCTCCTTCTTTGGAAGCTTTGAAACAGAGGCTGGATGGCCATCTGTCAGGGGTGATTTGAATGCAATATTCCTGCTTCTTGGCAAAATGGGGTTGGACTGGATGGCCCATCAGGTCTCTCTATGGTTCCCCTGTGGAAGCCCTTGTCTTGGCCGATCAGGGGCCACAAAATTGAACAGATCAAATACTTCAGCTTAAGCAGCAGAGTGGGAAAAGGAAAGGGCTTGAGGCCAGGAATGGTGGGACTTGAAGTCCAAAACACTTGGTTGAAGTTTGCCCACACCTGCTCTAGCTGTTCCCTCACCTGTCCTTCCCCGTTTCCAGCTGGAAGAGTGCGTCGCAGTGCGCCATCATCTCCTCGGTCAGCGTGTAGAGGCGGAGGCTGGGGTACATCTCCTTCACCTTCAGGAGGGCCCTGTAGACCAGGCCGGTCTTCTCCCGGTTCATCAGCCTGGGGGGCCCCCAGACGACGTAGAGGGTGTCCCACGACCGCGTGAAGAAGTAGGAGTGGTTCCTCAGGAGGAGGGGGATGCTGGTGTGGGAGACCACCCGGACGGTGCTGCGGCCACCCACGTCCTCCTCGAAGCCCTGCGTCGGGGCTTGGTTCATGCGCAGGACGCACTCCTTTGCGTCAATCTCCTTCCCCGAACGGGAGCCCAGCATCTGCCCTGAACTGGACACCACTGCGCAGTGGCGGCATGGCGCTCGGGCCAAGGGCTGGACGGAGAGAACGAGAAATGGGAGCAACTTGCAGGCCCGTTTTCAAGACCGAGACAGACATTGCTGCATTTTATGCAACTCTTTGAAGTGATTTTACTAATTGTATTTCTGCATTTTGAGTAAGTCCTGTGTTCATTTTGAGTAAGTGCTGGTCTTAACCTATAAAGCCCTAAACGCCTGTACCTTGGGAAGTCTGACTTGGCCACGGTAGTCCACGCTCTGGTTACATCCCACCTAAACTACTGCAACGCTCTCTACGTGGGGTTGCCTTTGAAGACAGCTCGGAGGCTTCAACTAGTCCAACGCTCGGCAGCCATGATCCTAACAGGAGCGGGACACAGGGAGCACACAACCCCCCTGTTGCGCCAACTCCACTGGCTACCGATTTGCTACCGGGCTCAATTCAAAGTGCTGGTGTTGACCTTTAAAGCCCTAAACGGTTCCGGCCCAAGCTACCTATCCGACCGCATCTCGGCCTATGTACCCACCAGGACTTTGAGATCTTCCGGGGAGGCCCTGCACTCGGTCCCGCCAGCTTCACAAGCACGGCTGGCGGGGACGAGAGACAGGGCCTTCCCGGTGGTGGCTCCCCGGCTGTGGAACGCCCTTCCCACAGACATTAGATCAGCTCCATCTCTAATAGTCTTCCAAAAAAGTAAAAACCTGGTTATGTGTGCAGGCTTTCGAATAATTGTGCAATGACTGGTAATGACATAGGAACGGAACAATGGATGACGAATTTGGATCGTGTTTTTTAGTGATGAGACGCCAGTGAATGGTTATTATAGTAATTGTGTATTAATTGTGTATTAGATTAGGTTATTAACTGTTTTATATTGGTGTTGAATTTTGCTGTGTCCTGTGTCTTGTGAACCGCTGTGAGTCGCCCTCGGGCTGAAGCGAAGTAAATAAAATAAATAAATAAATAAATAAATAAATAAACGACTCCGGCCCAATTTACCTGTCCGAACGTATCCTCCCCTATGAGCCATCAAGATTACTAAGATCGTCTGGAGGGGCCCTGCTCTCGATCCCACCGGCCTCACAGGCGGCTGGTGGGGACGAGAGACAGGGCCTTCTCGGTGGTGGCCCCTCGACTCTGGAACTCCCTTCCACTGGAGATCAGAACTGCCCCTTCGATCTTAACGTTCAGGAAACAGGTGAAAACCTGGCTTTGGGGATTGGCATTCAACGAACGAGCCATGATCCTGTGACATGGATGGATGACGACGAATAATGACTTTGATGACGACTGACCACTGTAATCATATGATTGTATTTTTGCCATTTTAATGGTTTCAATGTTTTAATGTTTGAGTGTGATTTAGAAATATGATGTTTTAATGACGGTCTGTAATATTGATGTTGGAAACCGGCCCGAGTCCCTCGAATGGAGGTGAGAAGACCGGGATACAAAACTACCAAATAAAATAATAATAAATAAATTCAATTCTACGAAAGTGGGTCAAAAAGTTTTGCCTCCTGTGTCATAAAAACATTATGAAGGAACCTAGAACTCCAGATCGTAGCCTGAATGGTCCTCGACACAAAACTACCATTCGACATGGTCGCCATCAATGTGTACACATTTGCACCATCGTTTAACCCAGGCATCAAAACCATTTTGGAAAAATTCAGGGTTTTGCTTCGTGACCCATGATTGTAAAGCTGTTTGAACATCATTCAAGTCATTGAATCTGAAGCCACGCCAGTTGTCTATCAGAGGTCCAAACAGGTCAAAGATGCAATGACTTGAATCACATTCAGACAGCTTTCAAATTCTGGGTCACGAAGCAAAACTTTGAATTTTTCCAAAACTTTGAATTTTTCCAAAATGGTTTTGATGCCTGGGTTAAACGATGGCGCAGATGTGTCCAAACTGATAGTGACTATGTTTTGCATAATGTCCTCTGGTTTTGCATAGAGGACACTTCAGGCTTGGATCTGGAGCAACTTCTGCTCTCATAGGTTCATTCATAATGTTTTTATGACGCAGGAGGGGAAAAAAATTGACCCACCCTCGTATTTCAATATTTTTATGCTTTGGGTTTTAATTCATTCTCCAGTGTATATACCTGGCGGAGCCTGGCTGTCATTGGGAACGGCTATCTGCCTACTTCTCCCCTTCACGACCATACCTTGTGAAGACTGACTTGACCATGATGATCCATGCCTTAGTTTCCTCTAGACTGGACTACTGTAATGCACTCTACGTGGGGCTGTCCTTGAAGACGGCCCGGAAATCGCAACTTGTCCAACGCTCGGCAGCCAGGTTAATAACTGGGGTGAATTACAGGGAGTGGTCAACCTCCCTGTTTAAGGAGCTCCGCTGACTGCTGTTTATTTTCCGGTCCCAATTCAAGGTACAGGTTATCACCTATAAAGCCCTAAACTGTTTAGGACCCGCCTACCTTCGTGACCATATCTCCCTCCATGAACCAGCCTGAGCCTTTCAATCTTCGGGAAAAGCTCTTCTTTCGCCCCTGCCATTATCACAGCCCCGTCTTGTGGGTACAAGGGAGAGAGCCCCCCGACTCTGGAACTCATTGCCTGATGAAATTAGGCATGCCCCCACCTTAGAAACCTTCAAAAAGGATCTCAAAACCTGGTTTTTCCGTTGCGCTTTTGGAGAATAGCCATAAAACTGCACATTATTGCTCTCCTCAACGTTTTTGTCCCTAAAGTACACTCCCCCCCTCCTGTATGATCGCCTGTTTTGGATGACCCCAGTTCCATATGAACTTCTCCCTCACAAACAATTTTTGCTACCCTCCACTTCTATCTCACCCTGAGTTTTAATATTTTATCTTGTTCATGCGGCCCGCTCAGTGTTATTGTGGTTGTAAATACGGTTCCGCTCAGTGTTATTCATGCGGCCCGCTCAGTGTTATCGTGGTTGTAAATACGGCTCTATACAGTTCTGGCCCAGCCTACTTGTCCGAACACATCCACCCCTACGTCCCATCTCGTAATCTAAGATCATCCGGGGAGGCCCTGCTCTCGCTCCCGTCAATTGCACAAATGCGTCTGGCGGGGACGAGAGACAGGGCCTTCTCGGCGGTGGCCCCTCACCTATGGAACACACTCCCAAATGAGGTAAGATCTGCTCCCTCCCTCCTGGCTTTTAGAAAGAAATTAAAATCATGGCTTTGGGATCAGGCCTTCGGACAGTAGATGTTTGTAGAGTTTAAAGGACATGGACTAGAATGACAATACGACTGGCGAGACTGTTTTTATTATTTATTGTTTTAATGATTGCTTATGTACTGTCTAATTATGATTTATGTTTAATTGTGGTTTTATTATTGTGGTTGTTATGGTTTGGCATCGCGTCAGTGTCCAATGTATGGCATTGAAGTTTTGTCAGTTATGTGTAAACCGCTTTGAGTCCCCCCAGGGGTGAGAAAAGCGGGATAGAAATACTGTAAATAAATAAATAAATAAGTAAATGATTTTATATTGGGGTTTTTTTTGGTATGTATTTCACTGTGTTGTTGATGGTGTTTTGGTTTTATTTTTCTTTATGTATATGTTTTTGGGCCTAGCCTTGTGTAAGCCACCCTGAGTCCCCGTCGGGGAGATGGAGGCAGGGTATAAATAAAGATTATTATTTATTTATTTATTTATTTATTTACTTTACTTGTATACCGCAGTTTCTCAGCCCGACAGGCGACTCAACGCGGTTTACAGCAAGGGTAAAAAGTCAATCAAACGATATACAATTTAAAAACCATTAAAAGCATAGTATACAAAATAATGACACATCAGTAACAGCACAATAACATCTCGTAACTAGAATCGTGATCCAAATTCGTCGTCCATAATTCCGTTCCTGTGTTCATCATATTCTTTGCACTGTTTATCCGAATGCCCGTTCAAACAGCCAAGTTTTTAATTTTCTTCGAAACACCATTAGCGAAGGGGCTGATCTAACCTCCGTGGGAAGGGCGTTCCACAGCCGAGGGGCCACCACAAAGAAGGCCCTGTCCCTCGTCCCCGCCAGCCGCACCTGTGAAGCAGGCGGGATAGAGAGCAGGGCCTCCCCAGAAGATCTCAGAGTCCTGGTGGGCTCATAGGCTGAGATACGTTCGGATAGGTAGCTTGGGCCAGAACCGTTTAGGGCTTTATAGGCCAACGCCAGCACTTTGAATTGAGCCCGGTAGCAAATCGGCAGCCAGTGGAGCTGGTGCAGCAAAGGAGCTGTGTGCTCCCTGCGCTCCGCTCAGGCTGCAGAGCGTTGGACTAGTTGGAGTTTCCGAGCCGTCTTCAAAGGCAACCCCACATAGAGAGCGTTGCAGTAGTCTAAACGGGATGTAACCAGAGCGTGGACTACCGTGGCCAAGTCAGACTTCCCAAGGTACGGGCGCAGTTGGCGCACAAGTTTTAACTGTGCGAATGCTCCCCTGGTCACCACCGAAACCTTATTATTATTATTATTATTATTATTATTATTATTATTATTTTATTATTATTATTATTCTCCAGCCCACTCAAAGGTCTCCATGGACACACTACAGTGTTGCTAGGTGAAGTGGCTCTCTTCAACTAAGCCATGAAGACCACCCCAGGATTGGGCCCCATTGTGCTGCCGTGCCCGTGGACCTGCCTAAGGCCTCCTCAGGTGGCCGGCCGACATTCCTGCCGCTGCAGGTGACTCACCTTCCCCTCCGGAACGCTGATGTAACCCTTGAACTGGGCGTCCGCAGGCGCCTCCGGCAGCAAGCGGCTCTCCTGCTCTTCTTCCAGGTGCCGGCAGCTGAGCCAACACAACGGCACACAGAAGCGCGGGCAGAGCAGGATGTACAGGAGGGAGCCGGCCGACAACACAACCAGGGTGAAGAAGACGCGAGGCTGGGAAAGAGAGAAGGAAGGGAGATTATTATTATTATTATTATTATTATTAAACTTTATTTGTACCCCGCTAGCATCTCCCGAAGGATTCGATGCGGCTTACACAGGCCGAGGCCTCAACACACAACACAACAATACAATCTAAGCAAATCAAACAATTAAAAACAGAATAAAGCAAAATAAACAACAGGCACAATACACTAAACACAATAAAACTGGGCCGGGCCAGAGCAATGGGTACAAGATTAAAAGTGCTGATGAGACAAGAGGTGATGTATATAGGGCTTCCAGGGCAAGTGCGATGTGCGATGTGCAGCAATCATTGGTTCTGATAAAGTGCTTATGGGACTTGGTAGTGGAGATTTCCTAATCTGGGAAGGCGCATCGGAAAAGCCAGGTCTTCAAGTTCTTTCTGAAGACAGCCAATGTAGGGGCCTGTCTAAGATCTTTGGGGAGGGTGTTCCAGAGTCGGGGGGCCACCACGGAAAAGGCCCTGTCCCGCGTCCCCACCAAGCGCGCTTGCGACGCAGGTGGGATCACGAGCAGGGCCTCTCCAGATGACCGAAGTGAACGTGTGGGTTCGTAGATGGAAATGCGGTCACGCAGGTAGGCTGGTCCCAAACCATTCAGGGCTTTGTAGGTAAGCACCTGCACCTTAAATTGGGCTCGGAAATAAACGGCAGCCAGTGGAGCTCCTTGAACAGGAGGGTTGACCTCTCTCTGTAAGGAGCCCCAGTTAACATCCTGGCTGCTGCCCGTTGGACCAGTTGGAATTTCCGAGCCGTTTTCAAGGGCAGCCCCACGTAGAGCGCATTACAGTAGTCCAATCTGGAGGTGACCAAGGCATGGACCACCCCGGCCAGATCAGCCTTCGCGAGGTACGGTCGCAGTTGGCGCACGAGTCTCAGTTGTGCAAAAGCCCTCCCAGACACCGCCGACGCCTGAGCCTCAAGCGTAAGCGTTGAATCCAAGAGGACTCCCAAACTGCGGACCTGTGACTTCAGGGGGAGTGTAACCCCGTCCAGCACAGGTTGCCACCCTATACCCCAGTCAGGTTTACGATCGACCAGAAGGACCTCTGTCTTGTCGGGATTGATCTTCAGCTTGCCCAAGCCAGGAAGACAAGATGGGACTTCTTGCAGCCTATTCTCTCATCTCAGCTAAACAGATGTGTTAGCGGCAGGGTGTGCTTCCCTTCAAAACAAGGCTTATGCTCTGTGCCCACCTTGTTTAACCAGGCCTAGGTTTGTTTCAGTGCACAATGAGGGAGGGACGTGCATGGCTGCTGAAGGGTTCTGGGATATATGTGCAAACCTGAATGACAGGAACGGAAACTTCAACTGGGCATTTGGAAGGATGGTCTTGATGGTCAAGAGCGGTGCAACCCAAGTCCCAGGAGAAAGAAATGCTCAATGCTTTCAAACATCATAGAATCATAGAATCAAAGAGTTGGAAGAGACCTCATGGGCCATCCAGTCCAACCCCATTCTGCCAAGAAGCAGGAATATTGCATTCAAATCACCCCTGACAAATGGCCATCCAGCCTTTGCTTAAAAGCTTCCAAAGAAGGAGCCTCCACCACACTCCGGGGCAGAGAGTTCCACTGCTGAACGGCTCTCACAGTCAGGAAGTTCTTCCTAATGTTCAGATGGAATCTCCTCTCTTGTAGTTTGAAGCCATTGTTCCGCGTCCTAGTCTTCCAGGGAAGCAGAAAACAAGCTTGCTCCCTCCTCCCTGTGGCTTCCTCTCACATATTTATACATGCCTATCATATCTCCTCTCAGCCTTCTCTTCTTCAGGCTAAACATGCCCAGCTCCTTAAGCCGCTCCTCATAGGGTTTGTTCAGCGCTATCATATCTCCTCTCAGCCTTCCCTTCTTCAGGTTAAACATGCCCAGCTCCTTAAGCCGCTCCTCATAGGGCTTGTTCTCCAGACCCTTGATCATTTGAGTCGCCCTCCTCTGGACACATTCCAGCTTGTCAATATCTCTCTTGAATTGTGGTGCCCAGAACTGGACACAATATTCCAGATGTGGTCTAACCAAGGCAGAATAGAGGGGTAGCATTACTTCCTTAGATCTAGACACTAGGCTCCTATTGATGCAGGCCAAAATCCCATTGGCTTTTTTTGCCGCCACATCACAAATTGAATGTATTCTTTGTGCAGAGCACAGCTCCCATCGTTTATTGCTTTGATTATTGATGTATTGTGGGCTCGGCCTCATGTAAGCCGCACCGAGTTCCTTGGGGAGATGGTAGCAGGGTATAAATAGTATTATTATTATTATTATTATTATTAATTATCGTCGCTTCCCCTTAGTCCCAGGTGGTACTTATGATCCAAAACACCTAAAGGGCACCAGGGCTGGGCAAAAGTGGGCCGGGGGACTGCATTTGGCCCCCGAAGCCACCCCAGATCCCTGCAGATAACCCTCTTTCCACTTCCCAAGTGCCGAAGATCCATCTCTCTCCCAAAACAATGCTTGGCAGACCCACCAGTAGCCAACACCCATCCTTTTCCTGCCCGATTGTTTGCAAAACACCGCTGCGCGGCCTAAGTGGATATGGAGTTAGTGGCGGTGTGCTTTTAAGAGGCTTCCCACAGGCAGCCTAATTGGTTTAGGTCCTGCCGCCACTCAAAGCGAGAAAAGAAGATTTCAAGAATCACAGGGAGAGAGAGAGAGAGAGGGAATGTTTGCAGGTTGCAACAACAGCCCTGCGAGAACGTAGTGGAACTGGCCTTCAGGGGAGGAAGGCGGCATCCCAGTCACGGAAGGATTACAAATGGACTTCACAAGTGTCTCTCAGGCTAGGATCTCCAGTCCCGCGGAGAAGAGCCAGGGCCCTTTCTCCCCATTATAACAGGTTTGCCCCGCTATTTCGAAAGGTTGAAATAACCCCCCAATGCGTTGTCGAAGGCTTTCATGGCCGGATTTGCTGGGTTGCTGTGAGCTTTTTGGTCCTAGCAAATTCCTACATGGAACACTTTGAGAAAGAAGCCTTGGAAACAACACCAGAAAGCCCATTCTATGGTTCAGATATGTGGATATCTGAACCATGGAGAAGAAGAACTCAACAAGTTCCTGGACCACATCAACAACATCCGTCCAAATGTCCAATTTACCATGGAAAAAGAAAATGAAGGAAAACTGCCCTTTCTAGGTATTCTAGTCATTTGCAAAGCCAACCAACAATTAGGTCACACAGTTTACAGAAAGCTTACACACATGGATAGATACCGACATAAAAACCTCAACTATTAAAAGGTAATTTTTTTCCCCTGACATGAAGTTCAGGCTTGTCCGACTCTGAAACTCTGGTGCTCATCTCCATTTCTAAGCTGAAGAGCTGGCATTGTCCATAGACACCTCCAAGGTCATGTGGCCAGCATGACTGCATGTATCTATTTATTTATGTATTTCATATTCTTCTATCTTGGAGCGCTGGCATGGAGCGCCATTGCCTTCCCAATGGAGCGGTACGTATTGATCTATTCACGTTTGCATGTTTTGAACTGCTAGGTGGGCAGAAGCTGGGGCAGACAGAGGAAGCTCATGCTGCTCCCCGGATTCAAACCTGTGACCTTTCGGTTAACAAGTTCAGCAGCTCAGTGCCTTAGCCCACTGTGCCACCGGAGCCTCCCCAAGTATTACCCTGGTCAAAAAAGCTCAATCAAAGCCTTGGCTGACCGTGCAAACAGGAACACCACTCCGAGATGGGAACTCCAGACAGGAAACAATCAAGGGTGCGAGAGAACAACTCTCAAACAGAGGGTGCCTCCAGGCAACAACAGCCAGGCTACCTCTATGCAGGGACGCTCACTGATTGACTTTGAAGCTGCAAGGCTACTCAATGCTAATCAAGCTGGCTACTTGCAACATTCACACTTGACTCAAACAGACAAGGGTTCTGTCTCCCACCTTGGACATTTCAGATATATAGACACCCCACTTGCCTCATTTCCAACAGACTTCTGAAGATGCCATTAGCCACAGATGCAGGCAAAACGTCAGGAGAGAAATAACATAGAACAGGGCTATGCAGCCCGGAAAACTCACAGCAACCCAACCACCCAATGCTTGGTAAAATCTGACTCGCCACTGGCCCAGGTTCTCAAGAACCTTTCCCAGGTGGAATTTGACTCCTTGGGCTAAGCAAGCCTGAGATTGTTTCCTTCTTCTCTGGAGACCAGGACACAACAGAGCCATGGAATCAAGTTGGAAGAAAGGAGATTCCACCTAAACATTAGGAAGAACCTCCGGATGGTCAGAGATGTTCAATATGGGAATAGGCTTCCTTGGTGGAGTTGCCTTCTTCGGATATTAAGTCAGGAGGACTTGGAAGGTGTCCTCCTGCACGGCAGAACGAGGTTGGACTGGGTGGCCCTTGGGGGTCTCTTCCAACATTATCCTATGGAACAGCACCAAACCACATTGTCCCCAACTGGAAATTCTCTTGGAAGGCATGATCTTCTCACAGCAACCCCGAATGATCTTTGAAGAAAAGGAAACCCATGGGCTGAAAACAAAGCTGGCTGAGGTCTGGCATACTTACAAGCACCTGCATCCTTTTAGGGTCTTCTCAGCCATGTATCTGCCTTGGGGAGCAACGCCCTGCAAAGGAGAAGAGCAAGAGGCAAAGGGGAGGCGGGTTCAAGCAGCTAGTCCTCAGCGACATCCCAGAAACCGGAGAGAAGGAAGGCGGCTCCAGCACTTGCATCGGATGCATGGAGTCTAAACTCCAGAAGCAGTGAGAGCTGGCAATGCCCTTTGCACCCAGAGAGCTTTGCAGCCTGCCCTTTGCCCTCGCTCCCCATGCAAACTGTGTTGTCAGAATGCAAAACACAGGCTTGCCATCTTCCCTCTTGTACTATCTTTGCCTCACGAAGAAGTCGGTGATGCTTCATAAACTTACATAATGGTGCATTTTATGTTTGGGATACCTAATAAGGTATATGGTTGCCTTTTGCTGCACGGCCCTGAATGGACAAACGTTGGGAGCTCTATCTCGTTGCTCAACTTCTGGCATAGTGATGCCAAGCTGGATTAATTCTGCAGTGTAGATCAGGCCTGGGCAAAGTTTGGGCCTTTCCTGCAGGCGTTTCGGATTGCAACTCCCACAATTCCTAACAGCCGTGCTGTGCTAAACAAATTAGGAACTCTTAGTATGCCCACCAGATTCGATATGGTTGTTTAAGACAGTTTTAAACAGAGGATTTTAACCTTGAAAGGAGATATAAATGACTCAAGGTCATCAACACATTCTACAAATGACTTGAGGACCTGATGCCCCCCAAAACCCACCTTGAAGAGAGATACAAAAGGCTCAATGACCACCAAAATTCACCCACAAATGACCCGAGGATTCGATGCCACCCCAAACCCACCTTGAAAAGAGAAATGACTAAAGGACATCAAACATACCTGCAAATGACCTGAGGGCTCAATGCCCCCCAAGACCCACCTTAAGAGGAGATATAAATGACTCAGTGACCCCAAAACATTCCCACAAAACACTGAGGACTCAATATCCTTCAAAACCCACCATAAGCGAGTTTAACGTTTTGTATGTGTATAGTCTAGTATGTTTTGGTACTGAATGTTTGCTGTTTGTATGTTGTGCTCCGCCCCGAGTTGGGGTGAGAAGGGCGGAATATAAATGTTTTAATAAAATAAATAAATAATAATTATTATTAGATACACAACAAGATCACAACAAACAAGATCTCTCTGCGGGCTGTGGTATTGGATCACACGCCGGATGTTTCCCAAGTGTCTAGGACTGTGTGATGTATTGGCAGATCTGAATAGGGTGGACTTTTGCAGCTGAGAGGTGGTGATTTGGTCAGTGCTGATTGTTTTTTAGTGCAGGTCAAGGTCTTTAGGTACTGCACCTAGTGTGTGGATCCCCACTGGGACCACCTTGACTGGTTTGTTGTAGTAGTAGTAGTAATAATAATAATAATAATAATAATAATAATAATAATAATAATAATAATGTTATTATTATTTGTTGGCCTGCCATCCTTCCTTGTTAGCCTGCTTGCCTGCTTTCTGTCTTGCTTGCTTTCCTGTCTACCTGCTTCCTTCTCCCTTTCATAGAATCAAAGAGTTGGAAGAGACCTCATGGGCCATCCAGTCCAACCCACTGCCAGATGAAGCAATATTGCATTCAAATCACCCCTGACAGATGGCCATCCAGCCTCTGTTCCAAAGCTTCCAAAGAAGGAGCCTCCACCACACTCCGGGGCAGAGAGTTCCACTGCTGAACGGCTCTCACAGTCAGGAAGTTCTTCCTCATGTTCAGATGGAATCTCCTCTCTTGTAGTTGGAAGCCATTGTTCCATTGCGTCCTAGTCTCCAGGGAAGCAGAAAGGAAGCTTGCTCCCTCCTCCTCCCTGTGGCTTCCTCTCACATATTTATACATGGCCCTCATCATGTCTCCTCTCATCCTTCTCTTCTTCACGCTAAACATGCCCAGCTCCTTAAGCCGCTCCTCATAGGGCTTGTTCTCCAGGCCCTTGATCATTTTAGTCGCCCTCCTCTGGACACATTCCAGCTTAGAGTCAGTATCTCCCTTGAGTTGTGGTGCCCAGAATTGGACACAGTATTCCAGGTAAAGTGGTCTAAGCAAGGTGGACTAGAGCATGGGGAGCATGACTTCCCTAGATCTAGACACTAGACTCCTATTGATGCAGGCCAAAATCCCGTTGGCCTTTTTTGCCGCCACATCACATTCCTGGCTCATGTTTAACTTGTTGTCCACGAGGACTCCAAGATCTTTTTCACACGTACTGCTCTCGAGCCAGGCATTGTCCCCCATTCTGTATCTTTGCATTTCATTTTTCCTGCCAAAGTGGAGTATCTTGCATTTGTCCCTGTTGAACTTCATTTTGTTAGTTTTGGCCAATCATCTCTCTAATCTGTCAAGATCGTTTTGAATCCTGCTCCTGTCCTCTGGAGTATTGGCTATCCCTCCTAATTTGTTGTCGTCTGCAAACTTGATGATCCTGCCTTCTCCTTCCTTCCTTCCTTCCTTCCTTCCTTCCTTCCTTCCTTCCTTCCTTCCTCTCTCCTGCTTGCTTGCCTTTTTGCCTTGCTTGCTTTCCTGCCTATCTGCTTCCCTTTCCCTTTCTTTCTTTCCTTCCTTCCTTGCCTCTCTCCTGCTTGCTTGCCTGCTTCCTTCCTACCTTCCTTTCTCTCTCTCCTGCTTGCTTGCCTGCTGTCTTGCTTCCTTTCTACCTTCCTTCCTCTCTCCTACTTGCTTGCCTGCTTTCTATCTTCCTTCCTTCCTCTCTCCTACTTGCTTGCTTGCTGTCTTGCTTCCTTTCTACCTTCCTTCCTCTCTCCTGCTTGCTTGCCTGCTTTCTATCTTCCTTGCTTGCCTTGTGTCCTTCCTTCTTTCCTCTCTCTCCTGCTTGCTTACCTGCTTTTTATCTTCCTTGCTTGCCTTCCTTCCTTCCTTCTTTCCTCTCTCTCCTGCTTGCCTGCCTATCTTCCTTGTTTGCTTTCCTTCCTTCCTTTCTCTCTCTCCTTCCTTCCTGCCTGCCTGCTTCCCTCCCTCCCTCCCTTCCCTCCTTGCTCTCCTTCCTACACGCCGCCTACCTCCTGCCGGCCTGCTCCTCCTGCTCTCTCGTTTGCTTGCCTGCTTTCTGTCTTGCCTTCCTTCCTTTCTCTCTTCTTTCCTTCCTTCTTTCTCCTACCTCCTTCCTTCTCTTTCCTTTCCTTTCCTTCCTTCTCTCCCTCTCTTCTTTTGCTTGCCTGCTTTCCGACTTTCCTGCTTTCCTGCCTACCTGCTTCCTTCTCCCTTTCCTTCCTTCCTTCCTTCTCTCCCTTCCTCTCTCCTGTTTGCTTGCCTGCTTTCCGACTTTCCTGCTTTCCTGCCTACCTGCCTCCCTTTCCTTTCCTTCCTTCTCTCCCTTCCTCTCTCCTGTTTGCTTGCCTGCTTTCTGACTTTCCTGCTTTCCTGCCTACCTGCTTCCTTCTCCCTTTCCTTTCCTTTCCTTCCTTTCTTCTCTCCCTTCCTCTCTCTTTGGCTTCCTTGCCTGCTTTCTGACTTTCCTGCTTTCCTGCCTACCTGCTTCCTTCTCCCTTTCCTTTCCTTCCTTCCTTCTCTCCCTTCCTCTCTCCTGTTTGCTTGCCTGCTTTCCGACTTTCCTGCTTTCCTGCCTACCTGCTTCCTTCTCCCTTTCCTTTCCTTCCTTCTCTCCCTTCCTCTCTCCTGTTTGCTTGCCTGCTTTCTGACTTTCCTGCTTTCCTGCCTACCTGCTTCCTTCTCCCTTTCCTTTCCTTCCTTCCTTTCTTCTCTCCCTTCCTCTCTCTTTGGCTTCCTTGCCTGCTTTCTGACTTTCCTGCTTTCCTGCCTACCTGCTTCCTTCTCCCTTTCCTTTCCTTCCTTCCTTCTCTCCCTTCCTCTCTCCTGTTTGCTTGCCTGCTTTCCGACTTTCCTGCTTTCCTGCCTACCTGCTTCCTTCTCCCTTTCCTTTCCTTCCTTTCTTCTCCTTCCTCTTTCTGACTTTCCTGCTTTTTCCTTCCTTTCTTCCTTCCTTCTCTCCCTTCCTCTCTCCTGTTTGCTTGCCTGCTTTCTGACTTTCCTGCTTTCCTGCCTACCTGCTTCCTTCTCCCTTTCCTTTCCTTCCTTCCTTTCTTCTCTCCCTTCCTCTCTCTTTGGCTTCCTTGCCTGCTTTCCGACTTTCCTGCTTTCCTGCCTACCTGCTTCCTTCTCCCTTTCCTTTCCTTCCTTCCTTCTCTCCCTTCCTCTCTCTTTGGCTTCCTTGCCTGCTTTCTGACTTTCCTGCTTTCCTGCCTACCTTTCCTTCCTCTTTCCTCTTCCCTTTCCCTTTCCTTTCCTTTCCTTCTTTCTCTCTCCCTTCCTTCTCTTCTCCTTCCCTTCCTTCCTTCCTTCCTTCTTTCTTTCCTCCTTCCCTCCTTTTTTCTTCCTTTTCTTCTTCTTTTCCTCCTTTCCTTCCTTGCTTGCTTTCCTTCCTTCCTTCCCTTCCTCTTTCTCCTGCTTGCTTGCCTGCTTTCTGTCTGTCTTGCTTGCTTGCTTTCCTTCCTCTTTCTCTTGCTTGCTTGCCTGCTTTCTATCTTCCATGCTTGCCTTGCTTCCTTGCTTCCTTCCCTGCCTCTCTCTCTTCCTACCTTCCTTCCTCTCTCTCCTACTTGCTTGCTTGCTGTCTTGCTTCCTTTCTACCTTCCTTCCTCTCTCCTGCTTGCTTACCTGCTTTCTATCACCTTCCTTCCTCTCTCCTGCTTGCTTACCTGCTTTCTATCTTCCTTGCTTGCCTTGCTTCCTTCCTTCCTCTCTCTCCTGCTTGCTTGCCTGCTTCCTTCCTACCTTCCTTTCTCTCCTGCTTGCTTGCTTGCTTCCTTTCTACCTTCCTTCCTCTCTCCTGCTTGCTTGCCTGCTTTCTATCTTCCTTGCTTGCCTTGTGTCCTTCCTTCTTTCCTCTCTCTCCTGCTTGCTTCCTTCCTTCCTTCCTTCCTTCCTCTCTCTCCTGCTTGCTTGCTTGCTTGCTCTTGCTTCCTTTCTACCTTCCTTCCTCTCTCCTATTGCTTGCCTGCTTTCTATCTTCCTTGCTTGCCTTGTCCTTCCTTCTTTCCTCTCTTCTGCTTCTTCCTTCCTTCCTTCCTCTTCCTTCCTTCCTTCCTTCCTTCCTCTCTCCTTCCTTCCTTCTTGCTGTCTTGCTTCCTTTCTACCTTCCTTCCTCTCTCCTGCTTGCTTGCCTGCTTTCTATCTTCCTTGCTTGCCTTGTGTCCTTCCTTCTTTCCTCTCTCTCCTGCTTGCTTCCTTCCTTCCTTCCTTCCTTCCTCTCTCTCCTGCTTGCTTGCTTGCTGTCTTGCTTCCTTTCTACCTTCCTTCCTCTCTCCTGCTTGCTTGCCTGCTTTCTATCTTCCTTGCTTGCCTTGTGTCCTTCCTTCTTTCCTCTCTCTCCTGCTTGCTTCCTTCCTTCCTTCCTTCCTTCCTCTCTCCTCCTTGCCTTCCTCCTTCCTTGCTTCCTTCCTTCCTCTCTCCTACTTGCTTGCTTGCTGTCTTGCTTCCTTTCTACCTTCCTTCCTCTCTCCTGCTTGCTTACCTGCTTTCTATCTTCCTTGCTTGCCTTGTGTCCTTCCTTCTTTCCTCTCTCTCCTGCTTGCTTCCTTCCTTCCTTCCTTCCTTCCTCTGTCTTGCTTGCTTGCTTCCTTCCTTCCTTCCTTCCTTCCTTCCTTCCTTCCTTCCTTCCTTCCTCTCTCCTTCCTTCTTTGCTTGCTGTCTTGCTTCCTTTCTACCTTCCTTCCTCTCTCCTGCTTGCTTGCCTGCTTTCTATCTTCCTTGCTTGCCTTGTGTCCTTCCTTCTTTCCTCTCTCTCCTGCTTGCTTCCTTCCTTCCTTCCTTCCTTCCTCTCTCTCCTGCTTGCTTTCCTTCCTTCCTTCCTTCCTTCCTTCCTCTCTCCTACTTGCTTGCTTGCTGTCTTGCTTCCTTTCTACCTTCCTTCCTCTCTCCTGCTTGCTTGCCTGCTTTCTATCTTCCTTGCTTGCCTTGTGTCCTTCCTTCTTTCCTCTCTCTCCTGCTTGCTTTCTTCCTTCCTTCCTTCCTTCCTCTCCCTCTGCTTGCTTTATTTCCTTCCTTCCTTCCTTCCTTCCTCTCTCCTACTTGCTTGCTTGCTGTCTTGCTTCCTTTCTA